AGACCTGTTTATTTGGCTCCATACACTAATGAAAATATTTGTGCCTTCCACTAACTACGAAATGTTTGCTCAAGATTACATGGAGTGGAATTTGTTTTACACTCCTGAAAAGAGAGTTCACTGTGATGAAGAGCTATGGGGAGAGCCAACACTGAATGACCACAGCCGTTCTCAGCACTTCTGCTCAGAACAAATGTAAGCGACACTTGTGCAGTGTTCCATAGCAAACTCGTTAAGAAACGTCGTTACTGGAAAGACTCTCCACTCTGAAAAATGTGTGTGTATCTGAGTCAGAATTTGGCAGTAAAAACGCTAGCACAGATTTTTTTTTTTTCAAATACACGTTTTTAAGCCCACTTCACAACACTAAAAATGTCATTGTAAAAAAGCTCTACTTGTAATGCTGAATATATGAACAACTTACCTCATAGTTATTTCCTAATTATTACAGAGCTGAATTTGCATCATGTAGAGCTTGGCAAAGAGTACATAGTCCAGGCAAGACCCACTTTTTTTGCTATTTCAGAAAACGGATTCAAAGCGAGGCCAAACACAAAAGTTTCACCACAGTAGACTGCATTTTGATCAATATTACATGAATATTTTTCTCTTTTAAACAAGTAGCATCCAAGAGGAATAAGATTAAAATCATAATAGCTAATTCAACTGTTCTTAAATATCACAGAGAATCTTTCACCCCCCTTGAAAAAAATGCATTATTCTATCACTAAAGGCCTCCCCTCTCACATGGATGTTTAATTATAACTCCTGACATCAAGCTTAAATTGTGTTTTAAGTAATACACAAAGCATGCTTGGAGGATTTGTTTTGCTCCATTTCACAGAAGGAATATGTATATTATTTACAAAACCCACTACAATGCCACAGAATTGTCAATTTATGTTCAATGTTATATTTGAAAAGTAGTCTTATCCTGAGAGGTCAGGAGGAACATAACTTTCCATTGTGCTACTCTGCGATTTATTTCTTTTGTAGCAATTGAATCACTTTTTACACAGCTAGGAGTTCTTACATACCCCTACAGATACACTGAGTTTCTCTTCATGGAGCCCAACTATATCTCCACAGCATGGAGGCAAGGAGTTTCTCGCTCATTCATGCATCCAACTGATTGCAATTTCTATCCTTTCTAACTATAATAGTCCCTATCCCATCAGCTCTGCCACAGACTTTCTGTCTGGCAATGGATCAATCAGAGGAAAGATTAAAAAAAGTGATTTGTGTAATCCATGACTTCAGATAACTAAATTGCAGTCCTGAACTCCTAGTTCAGATGTCAGTGTATCCCAGAGACATTCAGGGTTCAATTTGCAATCAGTTGCTCTTTGGGCCCAGAAGTTCCTTTCTGAAAGAACTCAGTAGTTTGGCATCTATTTGCTCAATAAAACCTGAAAACTAAACTTCCCTTTATCTGTCCTCATGAGCTTAATCCAGTACACTTGCTCTAGGAAAAAAAACTATTGCCAGCTTTTTGACAGTATTTTATTCAATGACCTCAAAGGATCTTACTTGTAAGCCTTGTAACACCTCTGCTAGAAAGTCCATGAAGACCCTAACTTCCCTGCAGAGCAAACTATTCTGACACATTTGTTAGCAGTGAAAGCCAGGTTAACATGACATGCTCATTACCTTCACCCTTAGGCTTTTTTTGGATCTAGCCATGAGACTCAGTCATTACAGAGCTAATACATGTATAATTTGAATTTAAAAGATATTCAGACACTAGTCTATTTACAGGTCTTTACACTCCAAGCTTGCCCATCTACACCCTGTATAAAATAGTCAGTACCTCTCTTCACTACTAGAGAACCAGAAAGCAAACCCAACAGTGTTACTGCAGCATTGTGGCTCCAGACCACAGCTGCATCACACAAGCTGCACTGATAAAGAAAATCACATGAAATAACTAATTTGTAAAACCTTCTAGCCATTTCTAGAGGGCCTTTTAACTATACTTTTATATAGTTTATATATACTTTATACTTTTAACTATAGACTCCTGCATTAAGTAGAATCTGAGCTTCAGTTCCCCATCAATTAAATCGGAATGATGGCACTTTGCTGTCTCATGGGGAAGAGACGAAGATAAACACCTGAGTACCCCAGTCTTCAGAGTAATGGGAGACAGATGAGTTCCTTAGCTAAAACCACGCTAACAGTTCCTTTGCCTGGTGGTATTTTGCTAGATGTAATGAATGCTGATGGATCTAAGAACTTGAAGGGATACGAATAAGTATTAAAAACCAACCCTGCATCTTTTGGGAAATTATATTACAGATGCCTAAAACAGTTCTTCACAGTTTGAAGAGCTGAGAAGTTGCATGTGGACAGTTCTGGCAGAAACAATCCTTTTCTTTACCTGACTTCCTCTCATCTAATGTGTACTCAGAGCACATCTTCCTGTGCAGCTGGAGGCTTTGTTACAGACAGAAGGATGTTGCTTAGTGTAGGCAGTGTTTATTGCCTAACTTTTCTTTTTTTTTTTTTTAAAGACGAATTTGGAAAATTTCCCAGATAATACATCTGCCCCTATTACTTGCATCTTGGAGTGTAAGACCAGTCGGGGAGGTAGTGAGGACAATTGCATTTATTAGCAATGAATAAACTGATCTATCTTTTTCTGGATTAGCAGTGGGAGATCCCAGACACACTAAGAAGTATCTGTCTGCTGACTGACATATACAAGCTGGCATGCTTTTGTGTCAAAAATGAACACAGCTGCATGCACACTAAAGCTATTCCATCTATAAAGCACAACTGCCAACTGCTTCTCTTCAGAGATGGGTAGTAAGAGAGGGTCTCAACAACAAAACAAGTGCAGAGTGCAATTAAAGAATATTTTTCATTCCCTTAAGCATCTTTCTTTCTACACTCTCCTGGATTTGCTGTAATTTCCCCTCCATCATGTTTTGGAGTAAGGACTGATGATCTAATTAGATTAATATTTCTCAAAAACTTTATTGAGTTGCCAAGTGCCTGAATTACACATTTTTAGGTACCAGAACAGGCTGATTTAACCTGATCGTTACCAGGAGATGTCTGGACAAATTGCCTAGCATGTTTTGCTCTAGGTCGCCTCCAGATACTCAGACAAATAGCTGGTTGAAGAGAAAAAACACAATCCAAAGCAAAAAAATTTATCCACACAGCATTATCAGCCATTTAGTGACACTATGAAGAGAGCTTTCTTTTAACATCTTCTCCCAGCCTGTCTGTCCAAACTCTTTCAAACCACCTCAGCTATCCCAATAAACCTTATTCAAAGCCTGAGTTTCAGCCTATGGAGCACGACCACTGCTTGGGTAGATTAGTGTTGGGCTTGCTTGGTTACAAATAGACAGGCATGTTAATAGTCCCAGTAGTGCAACACCCTCTTTCCCAACACTCTTGGAGACTTCTGATGAGCAGTAGGAAATTCAGTGATATTCATACTTCTTTACATGTCTGATTAAACTATTTATCTATATCTCAGTGATGGGCTGACTGGAGCTCCAGTGAGAAAAACAGCAGCTCACAATTTCTTTGGCATTTAGATCATCACAACTGACAACAGAAGAAACACATCAAAGATTTTTTTGCTAAGTATACGGTAAAGGGTGCAAACTCTGATGTTGGGAAAATCGTCGAGCAATTTGGATGAGGAAAGGAGACCAACAGCTGTTCCTACAGATTCCTGCACAGAGACAGGTTTTGCAAGTCAACATGGTGTCAATATTTAACTAACACATTATCACTTGTTATTATTATTTGACTATCAGTCAAGTAAGCACCTAGCAAGAAAAAAAAAAGGAAGTGATGTTCAATTTTTTTTTTTTCCACTCAGATTCACAGGAGAGGCAAGAAGGCGGTTTTTGTTTGAAACGAAAACTGAATTTGCACACACATACTTGCAAGTACCAAGATATCTGTGCTCACACATTCTTGCCAGAATTACCTGTGGTGACTCAGAAGACAAGGGATAACAGCTGAGTGCTCTTCAAATCTTCAGCGTTCTTTTGTATGTCAACAGTGCTGCATGGTTTTTGCAGCCCTTATCCGTCTTCACAAACAAGACTCACTACCAGGTTAAGTTGTATCACACCAATGTGGTCTTCACATGATCAGTGTGCTGTCTAATTCTTGCTCTCACTGTTGCCTAGATTCCTTTTGGATTTCCACTTCTGCTGTCAGTCTCATGACTTGATATATATATACACACACATCCCCAATTTCATACACTTTTTTTTTTTAAAAACCTTCACCTCTGCCATTTCTTCTTTTAAACACTCCTACTTCATGTAAACCAATGCAATATTTCACTTACAGACCTCTACATCTTGAACATTCAACCAGGTTCATTTTGCCAAAGAATACATTGTCTTTGCTTTATCCCAGAAGCAAAGACAGCAGCAAATAATGAGAATCGCAGAACATAGGATAACTGTTCTGCTTCAATGTGAAAAACTCCCAGTTCCAAAATAAATAAGTAATCAAAAAAGAGAGGAGATAATGCCCAAAGGCCCAGAAACAGCAGATGTCTGTCAGATTGGCAGGCTTTTTTCTTTTCTTGACAAAACAAACAGGATCAAAACACAAATGTTCTGAACATGGAAGAGAGCGCTTTTTGGGAATCCTCAAAGAGGTACCAAAGAAAACATGCCTTAGTATTCACAGCAAATTAATCAAAAAGTTTTTATCACAGAAGAATAAATAAAATCCATCTTATATTTACCACTAGGAAATGGGTCCGATATGTAGCAACATTCACCATCATGTACATGTCTATGTCCAAAGGCAAGGGAATACAAATCCCACACATCCAATTACATTTTCCACAGGCTTTTTATGTGAGAACCGAAATGGCCCATACATCACTAACAATCACATTATGCTCATAAATTAAAACCCACCGATTTTACCATGAAAATTATATAGAAGATGATAATAAATGGTAAAATAAATGCAGAATACAGCTGGTGCATTTTGCAAGTCGTTTAAACTCATTTACCTGTAAAGTAAGTATTGGCGGGGAGAGTGGAACTAGCGAATCGGTAATATCCATTTCCTGGGAAACGGATCCCTTTCATTACTTCTGTACTCAATGTAGCTAAAGATGAATCCATCCTTTCCACCTGGTAGATGGGAGAAGGTCCATTAAGTTCTTCAGGTTCATTCCAATTTATCTTTACCGTTGTGCTGTTTATTCCTTCAACACGAGGGGCACTAAGTTTTCTTGGAGCTGTGCATAAAAAAAAAAAAAAATAAATAAAAAAGAGGGAGATCTAGGTATCATTGTCCATAATACTTGGGAAATTATTTATTGCACATAAAAATTTTTGCAAAACACCCTGCTTCAGTTTCTAGTCATCTAAAGAATAAACATAGATATCCATAGAAGCTTAATTAGAAAAAAAACCAAACAATTAAAAAAAAAAAAAAAACACTTTATAGGAACTTACTTTCAGTTCCACAAAAATACCTTATTTGTTTATTCAGACTTTGGATAACTGTTTCTAGTATTATATCAAAAATATTTTTTTTCATAATCTTTAAGAATCTGAATCAATGCCTTCATCAATAGTATATTTGTATTCCTCCCTTGATGAGACACTCAGACTCACTGTAGGCATGTATCTGTACAACCTTCAGCACTGGATTTGAGTGAAAGACCAAAGGAGAATCTGAACAGTTAATTAACTCCTTTTACATCTCAGCAGTATGGTACATGACAACACGAGTCTTTCATCACTGAACTTATCCTCATCAACAGGAACAGAACAGCTATCTGTCCACAATACTGAAGGCCCATCAGGTTGCTTTCCTCATGGTGCCCACACAAGATTTTAGCATATGTTCAGATAATCATTCAGTTCAAGAAAATGATCCTCTCAAGCTTTTCTCCATCAACAGTGGTGCACAGTAGGACTCCATACAAGATTGTTTCCATGAAGTTATCAGCATAAAATATTTTTATGTTATAAGAATGATCCTCCTACCACAGAAACCAATACTCCGATATTCTTTTAAACATTCTGATAGTGTTGGTCACTCTATATCTGAGTTAGGAACAAAATTACTACTTTTTGTTTTTTTTAATACTGTACAGTAAGCCACCGGAGGGCAGCATGACCTGTTTGGATAATGGCATGAAGGCCATACAGGTGGGAAAGAGGTGGACTATCACTGAAACAATAAAAGATGTTGTCTGGAGAAGTACAAAACCACTCTACTACCTATAGAATTAATATCCATCTTATCTTGGTTTTTTTTCTTCACTTTCTTTCCTTGATAAAGAAAAGGATTTAAGAACAGAAACTTCATTTGTACCCAGGAAGTGAAATACAATGACAACTTGTAAAAATTACTTGTTCCCATAATGACATAGTAAAGAGCAATAAACGTCTTTCAAGTACAATAAAGCCTGAATTAAAATATGGGCCTTCGAAATCTGACATATTACTTCACAGCACAGCATTGTACGTAGCGCGAGTTCTTCAGAGAAGAAGAGATTGCTTCATTTAGAATGAGTTAATAACATCCTTTTAAACATTTGCACATTTCCAAGATCATTAACATATTTTTCATTTTTCCTGTTTGCCTGTAGCATGTTGCTACTTACTTTTTTTTCTTTCTTTCTTTTTCATTCCCCCCCCCCGCCCAACTTAATAAAAATTCTTCTTGGAGAAAGCATGGAGTGGGAGGACTGGGGAAGTGCCAATGGTACTATGTGCTGTAAATTCCTGCTTAGGCATCATTTATGACTTCACAATCTAATTAGTATCTCACGCTATCGTAGAAATTTACAATGTCAAAATTGAAGTAATGCAGCGTGAGGTCATTGGCTTTCCAGCATAAGCAGGGCACAGCACTAATGAATTGTGGTATTAATGCACAAGTTTAAACAGAAAACATGGCTTAACAATCAAAACTTCACCTTTGAGGGAACTAGTGTACGTCAGCATTTTAAATACAAACATAAGAGGTTGAGCCCTCCAGTTCAGCTTACTGATGGTGAAACAGAAATGCTACAATTCATTATTTCTACAATGCATGCAGCTAACTAACACTCATGACAATAACTATATCTTCCTTTAAAGTCTAGTATTAATAAACGGCAGTTACTTGGACCATAATTATGGCATCTCTGATACCCAAACCTGAAGCTTTTATGGGGCTTATGCAATTAACTACTTAAATGCATCGTAACACTTGCTTCTCTGACAGGGAGGTATTGATTTTTTAATCATTTTCAAGTCTCCTCTAGCACAAATAAATGTACTACAGTTACAGTTAATGCACTGTGTACACGCATTAAACACTGGCATGACACAATTTATTATTTTGTGATATATGGAACAGAAGCCTACCCTTTCAGAAAGTAACATCCTTGCTATAACATTAGTATTTAAACCTCAGTCTCGTTGATGCTTAAGAATTCTTGTGCATCAAGACAGTGGAAAACTGTACATAATAATAGGTTACATAAGTTTAAAAAAAAAAAAACAAAAACCAAAAAAACAGCAAAACAAACTCTGCATAGGAACAGAAAGGACTGAAAATAAATCTGTAGCACTAGCCCAGCAGGGTACTAAATGTTGAAATTAAAAATATTCAAGACTAAAAAGATACAGTATATATTTTCCTAAAGGTGTCACTGTGGTACCTGTAGCTACTTTCTGAAAGATGAATCGACTACAATTTTACCTATTTAATTTTTTTCAGTCACGTTCTGTTAAGACACATCTGTCAAAATAATGAGCGCACTACATTTTAGTGGATTCAAAGTCACATTTTGTGTATTTTAATTATGTAGTTTTAATGTCTTGCTATATAATACATATTTAATATATTATAAAGCTAAAACAGTATTTAAAAGCCCATGATTGCTGCGTGCCATTGTGTAGCAGAGGGCACAAAAAAGACCAATAAAGACAGATGGTCCATACAGCTTATGTTGAAGTCATATATCTAAATATAGATGTTGCTACACAGGTCATTACAAATAAGCCTTTCCCATGTGTTTATGCACACACGTGTACACAAAAATGAAGTTGGTAAGTAAAGAGCAGTTAATTTTGTTTTGTTTGAAATAATATCATTTTAGTTTTAGACTCAAAGACAGATGCCAGCATTTCGCTCTGAACAGATGGTAATTCCATCTAATAGTGCATCTCTGTATTAGTAAGGTCTGTTGTGTATACAAACAGTAATAAACACTAGGTAAGGATCAAAATAAATTTTAATTGTTGACATTAAATTCTGGCAGCCACGGTTCTAGGATACAATACTCCTTTCTCAAGTCTGTCAGGTTTACTAATACAACTGCTAAAGCTTTTCCATACTCTGCCAGTTTCTTGTCCCAGGAATAACATATTTACGCTGTGGCTAAATTTAACAGGCTTACATATGTTTGAATAAGTGCTGCTCAGCATACTGTAAGGTAGAAATTCGTGTACCCTTCCACAGAAGCCTTCAATTAGCCACTCTGAATAGTTCAGGAAGGTAACAGTAACAAAAAGTATACAGCTTTTAACTACTGTTCAGGTAAATGGAAAAAGCATACATACAAATTAAAACAGGAGGGTTTGGCAAATTTGAGGACAAAAACTTAAAGAAAATATACTTTTTTTCATCTTGGACTTTACCCTGCAGCTAAAATTACATGTCTTGCTATTGGTCATCCATTTCATTTTTGCTACAGGTTATTAGTCCAGAGGACCCTGAAATTGCCATAGCATTTCTGGAATGGTCTTTTCTTTCTCTGTGCTTCACAATAGTACCAGTCATTTCAACATTAAATGAGTCAAGAAATAATACTTATGTCTTCTGACAATACTGTGATTTTTTTTTTTAGAAGATTCTTTAGAGTCCATTTTGGACTCTTCCCCAAGACAGAATAAAACTCATCCAGAATGGACATCAAAAGAAAATTTAATAACACGGATATGTTACAATCGTATTTCTTTAAAAATAGATGTAATACACAGTATTTTTTAGAAATCATGAAAAATATATTGCTTCCACCATATGGGACAACCAACGACTCACCAACCGATTTAAGATGCAGCATATTGAGCTGACCATATGTTACAGTGCTGTTGAATGGCTGAGTGATTCATGCCCGTCACATTCTAGTATATCAATTAAAGCTCCTTGAAGTCTGCATGATTTGTGTCTCTGTTATTAAACCCTGCTAATTCATCCCACTTACACATCTGTTATAAATCTCTAGGAGTGCTGCATGATTCATGGCAATCTGTGAGCATGGTACAGCAAATTCTTCTCCTTGTAATTAACAGTAAATTGTTTTACTGCCATGCAATGAATTTTTCAGTTATATTGCAAATGAACTCCTAAATGCACGGTTCTTTCCTAAGAACTGACTTATATTATTAGGCAATTAAAAAGTATTGCTTTGAACCAAAAGCTTTTAATCAAGAGGAACGCAACTTAAACATAGCTTAAAAACCTTGCAAATTTGACACAGAGGGAAAAGAACAAACTGAGCTATTTTCTGAAGTATACTATGTCGTTGGTAAGGGAGAAGAAACAAATAACTTTTGAGGCCCTACTAGTTTCCTGAAACTCAAAGAGCAGTTTAACTACAGCTTGAACACTTGGCAAGACAAGTTCGAGCAGATACTGTTTATCTTAGAAGTTACTTAAGTCATCTGTCATTATGAAATTTCTCAGATTACTTTACACTTTTCTAATTGTAAAACAGTGTCTTTATTCTTGAAATAAATAATTGGATAATTAGCCAAGCTGAATCATCAGAGGATTCCAACGCTGCTCAAGTGTTCTTGTCAAAGGTGAAGCAAATTCATTTCAGCTTTGCCTCTGCAGCTTTCTGAAGAGGCTTTGATTTTTTTCCTGCTACATTCTTGGCAGCAGCCTCAAATTCATGAGTCCATACATCAAGTCAGTAGTTTAACAACAAATGAAATTAAATTCAAAGAAGGGAAACTAATTGAAGGACAGCAACAAAAGTGTTTGGTAATGTGCTTTTTAATATGGCATGCCACATTTGCATGATAATTTTTCCTTTTTAGCATGGAGCAGAAAGTGACTAGCTTAATGAGGGATTATTCAAGACAGGAATGAACAAAATGCATTCATAACTAAGAACAAAGATTGTATTATGAAACGGAAACAGGCAACTGCCGAGAAGTAACTGGATGATTGGTTTATGCATTATGAATAAAAAGGTAGAAAAATATTTATATTAGTATTCACTAA